ACTATTGGTTTATTGATATTGGGTTATTGGGCTAACGGTTTTTAAACGGTTTTGCAAATTTTTTTATTGGGTTATTGGTTCGGTTTCCGGTTTTATAATTTTTGTTAATGGTTAAACCGATAACCCAATAAGACTATACTAAATTTACTAGTCTTATTGTTAATGGTTAAACGATTGTTACTTTCACACTTTTTCCTTTGAATGTGTCTAGTGTCTAAACTTGCAAGAAAAATGATTGTTACTTTTATGATTATTACTTTCATGCCAAATGCTAGAAAGATCATATGGTTTATTTGAAAATTTTCTTATCGTGTATATAATATATATGAGTATTTTCTTATTGGTTAAACCGAAAACCGATTAACCAAAAACTGATAAGAAATATGTTATTGGTTTGGTTATCGGTTTGACGTATTTACAAACCGAAAACCGATAAACCGAACCAATAACACCTAAAACCGAACCGAACCGACCGATGCGCACCCCTAACTGAAACGACGCGAAAAATCCAGACCCGTAAAGACCATCAATAACAGTAACGTAAGCATGAGACTTTTTGGTAGTACCGGTGAACCAGATGGCCGCGGCGATGGAATCTGGGACGGAAGACTTGTAGTATCTCTCTAGATCTGATTATTAATGGGAGAATGTATCATATGGACAACAATTTAACTTATTATATATACTTGAAAGGGAAAAAAATTACACAAATTATTCAGTTTCTTTGGGTGTTTTTAAAAAATCAACATACTACAGTAATGAAGTTCAATTTGAAACTACGCCTCTATTTCAATCACAATGTCGAGAAACACATCTATTACTCCAAGAAAGTTTTTACAACTTGCAGTAAACTTGAGAATTTGTCCATACTTCATATTGAATATGAACAATTAATTTTTGTCTTTTTTTCCTGATTCACTTCGCACATCAAGGTGCGATAAAGTTTTTAAGGTCTTTCTGTCCTTACAATGACATGCCAAATTTGAATTTTGTCTTCAAGAGATAATAGTATAGATCTTTAAGGAATTTTTTTATTGTACCTTCAGCAATTTCAGTAGAAAAAACTTGTTTGAATAGTCAATTAACGTGTGTTGTTTAATTTGTACCAACAAATACTTATAACAATAACTTTGCAAAAACATAAACAACAAAGTTTAAAACATGTACTCAAAAAATAGCAATTAATAACATACGAATAAATTAATGACTGTAAAAAAACATACCATGATTTGTAACAATAGGATGAAACAAAAAGGAAAAAATTGTACACGAATATTTAATTGTGCAAAAGAAGAAGAAGTTCAGAATTTTCGTTGTTTTAAATAAAATGAGAGGAAATTCATCTATTTATAGCTAGACAACAAAAGGTAGTGTGAACAAATGTTTATAGTGCCTTATCGAAAATGTCACAACTCTTTGGAAAAGTTACAACCCTTCGGAAAGGTCATAACCTTTCATAAAAGACACAACTTTCATAAAAGTCGCAACTTTTCATAAAAGTCACAACTCTTCATAGAAGTTACAATTTTTCATAAAAGTTGCAACTCTTCATTAAAGTCACAAATTTTCATAAAAGTCACAACTTTTCATTAAAGTCACAACTTTTCATGAAAGGGGAAAACTATTTTTGTAAATATATAAATTAAAAAAAGAATCCTGGTTTGTGGTGGCTCCACGTAGGCGGGCCTAGGGTTCTCTTTTATATATATATGATTAATTTTGTGTGATCATATTGTTAACCTTTTTTCTTTTCTTCTCATTTTATCTTTGTTTATTATTTATCCTAGGTTTCTTGAAGGTTATCTTTAAAGTATTGATGTAATGATATTATGTAATGGTGAGAAATAATATAATATATACAAATTATATGTGTAAATAATACAGTATGATCTAATACAATACTCTCTTCGTCTAATAATAGTTGTCCAATAATATTTGTTTGATTTAGAAAATCAAAAGATAATTTATCTTTTGTGTTTATTTTACCCTTGCTATTAAATACTACTATTTATCATCTATGATCTAACACATTTTTTAAAGCATTAAATTTAATAAAGTCAAAAGATAATATAGTAATATTACCCCTATTATTTATTATTTCTTAAGAGGTATGTCAAATTAATAATGGACAATTATTGTTAAATAAATGGAGTATATTACAAAATAATTGTAACAATCATCCAAAGTAAGTAATAGTATTTATGTTGGCAATGAAATATCATATTGTTAATCATGAGACTTTATAGAATTGATAAATCAATAAACAATTGTTTGATAAAATAAAATAAAATGTAATACTAGCTAAACCACATGGTTAATACTGAATAGCATATTCTAACCATCTTAACTAATCCTAATGTTTGTGTTTGTGATTGTGATAAATATGTTACGTGTGAGTTTATTTGTAGAGATAAAATTAGAAATGAAATATCTGAAATAAAGTGAGAGTGATCTTGAATTTTGATGAAGGACAAAACGTGGAAAGTGATGTTGAGATGATTTGAGTATGTGAAGAGGCGATAAGAAAAATTCTAGCGCGAAGATGTGGGAGGTTAATTATAGATAATTTCATAAGAGGTGAAGGTAGATTGAAAAAATATCAATAAAATGTAATTAGACAAAGCATATTGCATCTCTATAATCTACCGAATACATGACATTAGATAGGAACTATGAAAAATAGCTCACTCTTTTATATTAATAGTAGTACTATTGTTCTTCCATTTTTATTACTATTGATTGTTTCTTGTACATCAATTATAGTTATTCTACCCTTTCAAATCAGTTCTCATATTTTATATTTTTAGAAACTAATTTGATTAACTTTTAAAATTTAACTCAATCAAATCAACTCAATATTTTATAATTAAATTTAGATTCAAAATCTATAGAAAAGTATAAATTACATATGTTAAAATATATCCTTTAACTTTCAATTAACTAATGTGACAACCAATTTGAGACAAAAAGAATATTTATGATTATTTATTTTTTTGGCTAGAAACTCATTAAAAATATTTTATTTTCATATGATTCATAAATTTTCCCTTTAATTTAGTTTCATTGCATTTGATTACCTTAGCCTCAAAGCTTCAAGTTTTCTCTAGATCTCCAATTACTATTGGAACAAAAATAATTCAAATTATTCACTTAATTTGATCTCCGATCAATGGCGAAGGAATTTAACGTCCCGCCGGTGGTTTTTCCGTCTGGCGGAAACCCCGGTCCACAACAACGTCGGCTTCCAACGGCGCCGTTTCAGCCACCGAAGTCATCGAACCCTGGGATACCTTTCATGTCCTTTGATGTAGGGTCTGCTGCTGCTTCCACTTCATTTTCCACTCCACAATTCGCATCCACCACCATCGGCGGCGGAGGATCGATGGGTTTTGAAGACGAGCCGCCGTTGCTGGAGGAGCTTGGGATTAACACAAAGCAAATTTACCAAAAGACTATATCGATTATGAATCCATTTCGGGTTAAAGCAGATCTTCACGAAGATGCTGATCTCTCTGGACCGTTCATATTCCTTATGGCGTTCGGGCTTTTCCAATTACTTGCTGGAAAGCTTCATTTTGGAATCATATTGGGATGGGTAATCATGGCTTCGTTGTTTCTCTATGTAGTGTTCAATATGCTCGCCGGCAGAAATGGGAATTTGGACTTGTACAGGTGTGTCAGCCTGATCGGATATTGTATGTTGCCTATAGTGATTTTATCGGCGATCTCATTGTTTTTGCCCGGTGGATTGGTGATCAAGGTGGTGACCGGAGTTTTTGTGTTATGGTCCACGCGGGTTTGCACTAGGCTTGTGGTTGAACTTGCATCTTGTGGGGATGAACATCGTGGGTTGATCGCGTATGCTTGTTTCTTAATTTACATGCTTTTCTCTTTGCTAGTGATATTTTGAATCAGATTAATGTGTTAGTATATTGCAGTTTATAGCTTGATCCATTTTTTAATGCCTTGAAGTCTTTAACTTGTGAGGCTAGAGTTTGTTAGTTCTATTTGCTATAGATGAATATAAAGAACTGAATTATGTAGTTTCAAATTCACAATTTGTTATAGTTGAAGAGAGTTGTGGTTTTGTTCCAAGCTTTCAAATTTCTTGAGATTTCAAATGTTAAATTAAGATGTCCTGATGTTTACCGAGTTCGTTATTACTAGGTCTAAAAGGAGCTATTTTTGTGATTTCTTGCTTTTTTTCCTGCCATGTCCAAGACATTTTGTGATTTTTTTTCAATTTGCTAGAATTTCCTTTCCCTTTTTTGCCTGAGACCAGAAATTACCTTAAACATTAAGAAAAGATTTCAGTGTTGTCGTTGATATGTTCTGGATGCTGTACTCCACTTTGGTTGGAAGCTATGAAGATTACAGAAGGTTTGATTGATTTGTGAAATGCAGTATAAGCAAGAATAAGTAAATCACAAAAACCGCATGGATGGTATGCGCAATGGTGGTGGATGTTGATTGAGTTCTTATGTATCATCTGTTAACGTGCCTTCGTATCTGCATAAACAACTAAATAGGGTGATTTAGGTTCATGCACATTCACCTCTTTATGCATATACCATAGAAGTTTAATGCCAATTTGTGATAGTAAAGTTCGTTGGAACAAACTAATGATGGTAACACTGTTCCAACGATCTAGAGAAAATGTAGAAGTATTTGATTTGGGCTGCCTACGATTAGTTTCTTGAGGCAATGGAGGCATTTCATTTTTGGGTGGGGCATGGGGCAGCTGCATGTACTCTTTAACGTTTTGATGTACTACATCTTGAGTCGGTTATTTTGCATTGAAGCTTATATTTCTTATGCCAGAACCCATCTGATACTTTGTTTTAATAAATACCAGTAAGTTCTTCTTCAAGTGCTAAGTCCAAATATTCAGAGTCTCATGGATAGAGATTTTAGGGATTGAAGACATACTAATTGTTAATGATGGTGTTAATTTCTTAACTGCTTATTCTTTGGTTGTAAGCTTATGGCATATTAAATTTGATTGTCTTAATCAGTGACGAATGACTTCATCGTATGTAATATAGAATCTAACAGGTTTTTTGAGGTAATCTAGGACTTCTGATTGAATAATTACTTGTTCAAATAAGATCCATAAAGTATACGTTTGTGCATTTACATAGGCACGGAGACCATCTCTTGTACAGTATGTAATACTTACTTTCACCCATCAATTTTGTCTACAGACGTGTCAACATGTGAGTGATATAAAAATGTGTTTTGGTATCTATGCAGTTACTGGACATGCTGTTTTCACCTTATTTCATCTAGCAACCTACTTGCTCATTTATTTTTTACCTGATTTTGCGAAAAGGTTATGCTAAAGTAAAGTATCTGTTTGTCGGAATTTGTTTTTGTGATGAAGTAAAGGATCTGTTGAATGATACCTCTCTCACTCTCTGCTTTTTTACAAGAACTGAGTTTTAGGTTGAATGGGGCATTCATGGGAATCTATACAGACGATCATCTGCTGACCTTTTGTTTTATTTTGAGCTTATTTTGCGGAAAGGAGTTATCATTGATTTCAGCTATCAAACTCTCCTTCTGCCGTTATTTTTCCTTTATTTGCTACAGGAATAGTTTTTGTTTGAGCAAAAATATGAGTTTACCAAGAGACTGGAGCAAATTGTACTGTAGCAATTTTCTGCAATTGTGTGTGGTTCAAGCAAATTTTGCTGTTAATGGAGTAATGTCTTTTGATGTTCATTCTGTCATTTTTCTTTTTCAATGTGTGGCCTGTGCATCAGAAACTTTCCTCAATGTCCTTTAGCTTGTTTGTTGTCTATACGCGACTCTCTGTTCTCCTGTTATAGTGATTTTTATGGCATCTTCATATGCCAGATTGATTGCGCGAAGAACTGTTGAAATGCTCTGGTAGTTATTTTCTGAACATAATTTCATACCAACATTCTCACTAATAACAACAGGAACATGAGTCCATAGGATAGTCCATACATCCTAACACATATATTTTACATATAACTATGCGAATCATATATGTAAATTACAGCACATATAACAACAACAACGTACCTAGTGTAATCCCACTAGTGCCACAAGTGGGGTTTGGGAAGGGTAAGATGTACATAGACTTTACTCCTACCTTTGTGGGGTAGAGTGGTTGTTTTCGATAGATCCTCTGCTCGGAAAGTGAAGTTATTCGAGCAAAAGGTTGCAGGAAGAGAAAGAAATGACATCAAATTATTAAGCTACAGAGCAATAGATAGCAAAAAAGCATCGAAGAAAAAGAAGCTATTTGAAGGCTAGTCTCTGCCTCTTCCAATAAACGGGCAAACCATACTCAACTACTTATTAACTTCCTATCATAATCTTCAACTCCTATATCTTCCTATTTAGGATCGTGTTCTAACAAGTTGAAATTGTGCCATGACATTACAACACATATATCTCGTACAAATCTACAATGCCATGACATTGCAGTCCAAACCGTGCAAGTATAAGTACTTTTTTAACAACTTGGTAATTGACAACAAAGGCAATTTCCATTCAATTTCTTGAGATCGCAAGTTTCATTTTGTTTGGTGTGGGAATAACCTAATGAAATTGAAAAAGTTGTTATGAATTATGGTTTGCTCAAGAACATGCTGATGCTGGTGGCCCTATTCCAACTTGTTCCTAAAGTTCTTTTCTCCCTTCGTTTTTAAAAAAGTTTTGATTATTACTGCAGTTCATATAGATGTTTATTTCGAGTTTCTGGATGTATGTTTGAGCTAAGGCATAGGGATAAATTTATTTCAACAGTTGTGTCCAGATACCTGCTGTTTCTGAACTTGATTTTGATGCTTCTTGTATGTATTTTGAGTAATTCTCCCACATTGGCATCTAAGAGAAAATTGGAGCAAAAACAGTAGTATTAATAATGGGCTGAGCTAACTGGACAACATACTTACCTGGACGGGGTCAATGGGCGATCAATAAGACCTATGGCCTAGGCTTGTGACCTTCATTGCACTTTGGAGGGGTGCCTGCCTAAGGTCGACCCAAGTGGTCGAGCCTACGTCATAATTTGTTGCTGTGGGGGCCTGCGTTCGCGCGGCCCCTGCCCAAATCTAAAATCAAATAGTTTTTTTGTGCACTAATGCAACTCTGGCCACAAAATTTATTATCTTAGTCTTGGCTTCAAAGAGCAAATATTTGTTCTGAAAATACAAACCAGCTTCACTATCACATTGGGTCTACTTTGTTCAGTCGAATGTAGCACTGGGTGTGTTTGGTACGAACGAAAATGTTTTTCTGAAAAACAAACAAGTACATTATTGACTTATTAAAGAGAAAATATTTTTTAGTGTTTGATTTATGAATAAAATATATTTTTGAGAGAATATCTTTTATTTTTACTAGAGAGTAGAAAATAAGATGAACACAAACTTTACCCTTACCTTTGTGGGGTAGAGAGGTGGTTTTCAATAGATTCTCGACTCAAAAAGTGAAGGTTATTCGGGCAAAAGGTTGCAGGAAGAAAAAAAAAATGACATCAAATTATTACGCTACAGAGCAATAGATAGCAAAAAAAACATAGAAGAAAAAGAAACTGTGTGATTACTAAGTACTATTACTAATGAAAAGATGAGAATATGAGGCTAGTCCCTACCTCCCCCACGTAACGGGTGACCATACTTAACTACCTACTAACCTTCTATCATAATCATCAACTCCTGTATCTTCCTATTTAGGATCGTATCCTAATAAGTTGAAATCATGCTTTGAAATTACAACACATATATCTCGTACAAATCTACAATGCATGACATTGCAGTCCAAACCGTGCAGGTATAAGTACTTTTTTAACAACTTAGTAATTGACAACAAAGGCAATTTCCATTCAATTTCTTGATATCGTAAGTTTCATTTTGTTTGGTGTGGGAATAACCTAATTGAATAGAAACTCATTATGAATTATGGTTAGCTCAAGAACATGCTGATGCTGGTTGCCCTATTCTAACTTGTTCCAAAAGTTCTTTTCTCCCTCAGTTTTTAAAAAAGTTTTGATTATTACTGCAGTTCATATAGATGTTTATTTCGAGTTTCTGGATGTATGTTTGAGCTTAAGGCATAGGGATAAATTTATTTCAACAGTAGGCCAGATAGCTGATGTTTCTGAATAATTCTCCCACATTGGCATCTAAGAGAAAATTGGAGTAAAAACAGTAGTATTAATAATGGGCTGAGCTAACTGGGCAACATACTTACCTGGACGGGGTCAATGGGCGATCAATAAGACCCATGGCCTAGGCTTGTGACCTCCATTGCACTTTGGAGGGGTGCCTGCCTAAGGTCGACCCAAGTGGTCGAGCCTACGTCATAATTTGTTGCTGTGGGGGCCTGCGTTCGCGCGGCCCCTGCCCAAATCTAAATCCAAAAAGTTTTCTTGTGCACTAATGCAACTCTGGTCACACAATTTTCTATTTTAGTCTTGGCTTCAAAGAGAAAATATATGTTCTGAAAATACTTTGTTCAGTCGAATGTAGCTTTTGAGTAACACTAATTACGCTTACAATATTTTATCTTAATTTACACTTGTATTGTTTCAATTTAATGATAAAGTTGCATTGTCTTTTCGCGTCAAATTATTGGATAAGTCGTACAAATATTTTATTTTTATTTTCTTATTGGGTAAACCGAACCGTTAAGGATCAAAACTAAAAATCAATAAAAAATATCTTATCAATTTGGTTATTGATTTAACATATTTAAAAATCGAACCGATAATACATATAACCGAACTGATGCACACCCTAACCCTAATCCCTAGATCAAAATTCAAAGTATCTGAGCCAACACTATCGTAAAACTACAAAATATGAGAAGCAACGCTTCGGTTTATTACTAGTTATTCACATCTTTAACAGGCAAATTGTACAAACTGCCAAAGACGAAGCCAAACATTTAACCAACATTAATGCGTGATAGTCGTCTCCAAGCTTGTTCTAGAGACAAAAAAAATGTTTCTTTCTAATCGTATTTCGATTTTCTTAGTTCCTCAATGCCTCCGGGGTCCCTGTTACCTTCACTTGGGGAGCAGTCTGTCAATTGCAAAAAGATAACCACCTAC